GTGTCCAATACACAATCCCTGCGAGTACCATCGCCCATTCGACCCAACCTACTTTCAACGAGGAACCAAATAAAGGTTCAACAGTCAAGGAAAAGGATCCAATCGAGAATAACAAGAAACCTTTCTTCCAAAGGGCACTACCCAACTAAGTCGAACTGCTGACCCCAACAATAAAGAAGATGAGGAAGAAGAGATTACCGTTACCAAAGTCCAAGATACTATGGACATTGATGACTTAGAAAAGGAAGCAGATGATGTTTCTCCACGTGTTTCTAATAACGATGGAGACGAAGGTGAAAATGATGAAGAACAACAACAACAACATGATGAAGGCCACTCCATGTTTGACTATGATACCAATCCTCTAGAGGATGAAGTCGAAGAAGAAGACGAAGAAGAAAAAGAACAAGAAGAAAACACAGAGCCAAAGGTCGTTACTAAGGAGGAGGCTAGAAAGAAAAAGAGGGAGGATATTCCTCCTGCACGCAAAAGCTCCAGGCGTAAGGCCTAAGTGGTATCATCCAGAGGCAAACCTAGTCCTGCCTCCCCTAATCACTTGACAGTGAGGGCACTGTCCTTACTTTAAGTTTAAAGGAGGTGGATAAAGCTTGACCTTCTCTCTTCTATCTTTATTTATTTTCTTTCTATATATTGATGAAGGATGCTTAGGATAAGATTATAATTTTCTAGATATTTTTTGCTACGTTGGTATTTTTCTTGGAAAGTTTGATGGGCTACTTTGTTACTGTTGGTTGAATTTTGGAGACCATGTTTGAAGGTCGTGTTTGATACCTGGATTTTTAATCATCTAGTTTATGATAGTTTTAATCTTGTTTAGTTAATTTTGTTTTAATTTAGTTTAATGTTGCATGATTTAATCTAAGACGTAGTTTTGCGTTTGCATGTTTAGTTTTCTTTTAGTTAATGAAATAACAAAAAAGTGAGTAAAGAACAACGAAGGCTCAGGAAACTATATTTTATGTGCTTAGAATAAAATTGGGTGATGAGTTTATCAATGAGTTTTTGGAAACAAAGCCAAGTTGTGACCAAGTGTGTTGCTGCAGAGGTTATTGATAACCTCTGCCCTGCCTCCACTAGTCTGTTGAGTTAGATTTTTTCTTAGAAACTTATTTGTTTGAAATTGAGATGCAAGTAGAAACCTTAAGGAATCACCATGGGGAGGAAGAACTGACTTCAATGAAGACTTAGGCTTTTCACAAAAAGAGCACATTCCACATGTTACTAATAAAACACACAAAAGTGTGCAAAAAGTGGAAAAGACCAGTAATAAAAAGTTCTTGTGCCCGAAACTGGAGGAACAACCAGCATCTTCATCATAATAGCCAGTTGGACTCATTACAAGTGAGATCCCGTTGAGTGAAAAGATGGAACGTTGAGCCAAAAAAGAGAAAAATAGAAAAGAAAAAGAAAGTAAATAAGTGGAAATGTGTGATCTAAAATGTGGAAGTCAAAATTCAATAAAAGAGTCAGGATATAATTCCTTCTTGAAACCCAAAAGGAACAAAACTTAATTCACAAGAGTACTCAAATTGGAATCACAAAGAAAAATTAGCTCATTCTTCTGAAGAGTGGTGGCGTGACAGTAGGAATCTGGTCACTTCAGTATGTGACATCTCTTGGGTTGATACAAGGCTGAGTTATTCCAATTACTTTTATGTATAGACCATTCATCCAGTAAAAAGCTGAGCCACTCCATCAATCCAATCCTAGCCTGTTGTTTTTGAAATTCTCTTTTGTCATTCACTGTCACATCACCTGAGGACAGGTGATAGTTCAAGTTTGGGGGGGAGTGCTAACACTATTTTAGTGTGTCATAGTGATCCATTTTTCTTATGGTTTTAGTTTAAGTTTAATTAGGATTTGTTTAAATTTACTTGTTTTAGTATGTTTTTACCTTAAGCATACTAGGTGCTTCTTTTATGGTTTTTTATGTGTTTTTGTTTTAAAGAAAATTTGATAAAGGCAAGCTGAGGCATAACACCTCAAGATAGAGTCTGGAGTAGAAAGAAGATTAAAGAAAAGAAGATGTTGATTCTCGTTATCAGCAATTCACCAAGAGCTTGGAAGGATTTTATCATTAAGGCACACGTGGCAAGGATTTGTGTAAAGAAAGGGCTAGAGTATAAAGATAAGAATAAAGGAGCTTGAAGACAAAGGGTAGTACGGTGAAAACCACACCTACAAAAGCGCATTCTGCACCCAGCCACCCGCTGTCTGCTCTGCGCCATTACTTGCTACAGTAGCCTACCAAAGACACCTTCTCCCTTATTATTGTCTGTACTGGATAAATTTCTCACAAAGGGAGATTGGACAACTGGATATTTTAGTGATTTGATATGGGCTGAACCTTATTCCTATCAAAGGCCCGTGATCCAAGACTCACCAACTTCTACCCTCACACTCAAGTCTATAAAAGCATGCCTTGCGCATTAAAGAAAGAGAGCTGGAGATTTTCACACACTCATATTTATTTTCAGTTTAGTTTTATTTCACTTTGAGGGTTAGGAAAGAATTAGAAAGTTTTCTTCTTCTCATCTAATCATGTATTCACTGCTTGGAGTTGTCATGACTAAAGAGATCTATTGTTATTTATCCAACACAAGGGATCTTCAAGTTACTATTAGATTGTCATTTCTTTTACATATTTTTGTTAAGAGTATGTCTTGTTGTAGTTTCATTCCAGTAGTTTGTACTCAACTCATTATGAGCTAAACTCTTGTTTGATGAGCAAAGTGAAGTTAATATAAAGTTATTTTTATGTTGAAATGATGTGTTGATTAGTGTCTTATTTTGTTAAGTGTTTTTATTCTATACACCTGCTTCTTAGAATGATCAACTTAGAAAAAGGTACAAGCTTGTTGTTGAGAGAGATCCAACAACGAGTGAATTTCATAACAAAAGTAGTTAATAAAGTAGGATAGAGATATTCACTTAATTTAGCTTGCTTAGAGATAAGAAGTTAAAGCCATAAAGATTTTTAGAATTAAAACCAGACGTATTTTAGAGTTACAAGTGAGCCTTAGAGATTTGTTCCCTTACCCTAGTTATGCATGCTTTGATGTTATAGAGATACACCACATGATCACGTTCTGACCTTTTGAGGCACAACACTTCACATCATGAATACATTTCAGCAATAATATATTAATGGATCTTAACTCATCAATCAATCTCTCTGATAATTTATTCCCTTTTTATTTATTATTTTAAGTTGTTGTGTGAACCTCTTGCTGCTTATTACCGTTAGTACTTTGTTACCTTAATCATACTTATTTTAAACAAAGTTTGAATACTTATAGTTCAAAGCTAAATCAATTTCACTCCCCGTGAGTATGATCTCTTTACTTTATCACTTGCTGCAATCAAACATACATGTATACTTACATGTGACACCTTTGCTTTAAATCAGTATCAAAGAGTAAACACGTAAGAAAGCAACACTACTACCGTTTCTTCTCATTTTCTTAGTCCTCTTTATCAATTACAATTCTCTAAATGCCCTCACCTCTTTTCTGAATCCTAGTTTTGCCCTCGGCTACTTTGCTCTCATACCCAAAGGTTTGCCATTCGTGCTACCTCCGATGTTGTCGTGGACTCGGTAAAGTTTTCCTTTTCATTTTCTATATTTAATGTTAAATTCAAACTTTCTTTCAAGTTTTCACTTTCAGAATTAAGCAATCTTCATTCAATTAAGCTTTTATTTATGATCATAATATAATTGATTCAAAGGCTTTTTTGATCACGTGAAGACTTGAGGTTAATCTCTTTCTTAGTGCTTGAGCATCAACAGATAATTCCTCTTGCAGAAAAATGCTTTGTTGATGTGTCTAATCAAGTACAAAGCTAGTTTAACCTATTTGGTGAAAGTTTTCAACGTCTCTTTTTCTCCTTGTATAAAAGGAGTTGCAGACCTAAAGAAAAAAAACAACCAAGCGGTAATACAACTCTGTTACAGACTCTGTATATTGACATTCAAAGAGAAGCTACTATGTCAAATTTATAAGACTTAGAACATCTTAACTTTGTATATATTTTAGAAGTTCATAAGTCTTAGAGTCTTTCTAAGTTGTATTGTATCTACACCTCTGATTGTATAACATGTGTAGCTTTTACCCAAATCTCTTAACAATTTGTTATAGAGTTAGAAGTTTCTTGCTTGTGTGCTTGAGCATTTGATGTCTCTCGCCTATGTACTTGAGCAGATGAAGTCTTAGACTTATGTGCCTAAGTAAGGAAGTCTTTAGCTTGTGTGCTTGAGCAAGGAAGTCTCAGACTTGTGGGTCTAAGCAAGGAAGTCTTATACTTGTGTGTGTAAGCAATGGAAGTCTCTTGCTTGTGGGCTTTAGCATTTGTAATCAGATTTGGTTATAATGAAAATTCCTTAGAAGTATAAGAGGACTGAACTACTCTCAAGTTGTGAGAGGAATCAAGATAAACTGCTTGTGTTCTTATACTTTTACTTTCTTACTTCTATACTTAATATTCCACTGTTGTCAACTCTGACCATCCTATTCAGATTTTGGTTCAGGATCTGATAAAATCTTTCAGAAGTCAAACTAATTTTCTGAGCCAGATTCTAATTCAAGTGTTCAGACTCTAGTAGAGAAACATCAGAAGCAGAGCTGAAAAACTTAAATAAGAAAAAATCAACACAATTCAATTCTTATTATTGTATTTTTCTCACCTTCACCTTTGTATTTAAACTACTGCTTCTGCGGTTAAGATTTGCACTAACAATTCTAATTTCCGAACCAAACATCATCAATTTTAAATACAAATTATATTTAAAAAATATTTAAATATAAAATATTAAAAGAATAATTGTCCTAGAATAGAACATTTTTTAGAATTAGTGATTTATCATGTGACGGGCTGATTACAAGATTTTTTGCGGTTCCCCGGGAGACACAGTAGTGAATAAACAACACTCCGAGTGATCATATGGTCACCTGACTGCCCCGATCCTCCATTCAATCACCATGGCCGCGTCTGCTACTCCCGCTGCTTCTCATTTCCTTCGCCCTCTTCATCAATTACAATTCCCTAAATGCCCTCGCCTCTTTTCCGAATCCCAGTTTCGCCCTCGGCTACTCCGCTCTCATACCCAAAGGTTCACCATTCGCGCTACCTCCGCTGTTGCCGTAGACTCGGTATAGTTTTTCTTTTCATTTCAAGTTTTCACTTTCAGAATTAAGCTCTTTGCATTCAATTAAGCTTTTAATTATGATCATAATATAATTGATTTTTAGATTAGTTTATCGATTCTGTTAACTGTCACGCTTTGTTGTGTTCAATGTTCAAATTCTGTTAAAGCTTGGTAAATGTTTTAAAAGTTTAGTATTGTTCTATCAACAACAAAAATGGATATTTTCTTGGGATAATGATTTAAGTGGTTAAGCAAAATAATAGTACTTAATTAATTTAAGTAGATGGTTAATGGATGAATCATGTGTTAAAACTCATTAAATAACTTGACTTCATTAACGACGAATTGGACATGGTTGGCCACAATTTTCATGTGTTAAATCTACATGTAAATGAAATAGTAATTAACAACCTATTTAAGATGCATTAACCAGAGTAGTCAATCGCGGTCAACAGCGGCGTCATCCCGGTGTAGCAGAGGTCAGCCGCTATGGAAAGAGCCTTAGCAGTGCAGAACACCATAGCGGTTGCTATAGGATAAATAGCGGGTAGGAGGGGTGGAGTGGTTTCTTATGTTGTTCCAAAGAAAAATCACAAGTTCCCCCCTTACCTCTCTCTGCACTTCCTTCCTTCTTCCCTCTGCACAATAAGGTTTGGTTGTTGTTGTTGTATGTATTTTGTCCCAAAAATGATCAAATAGCAGCCATCCTGTTATACGCCATCTCGTTATCCCATTTTTTGGTCAGCCGCTCTGTGCCGCTATCTGGAATTGGGATTGGCTACTTTGGCATTAACAACTTAGTAAGCTTACAATTGCCTTAAATATTTAGAATGCGGAGATAAAACTCCGGGCCAAGGCAAGGAAGTCCTCTTGCTTAGTAAGTAATTGCGAACTAAATTACATTATCCCGAACTAATGGAAAGTTGAATACAATTATGGTCGTGCTCTATTAGGCCATTTTCTTGGGGTTGAAGATTTGATGGTTTTATTCTTGAGGTGCCTTTTCTAAGCTTGATCGTGAAGTTGATTTTTTTTTATTTGAAAAAACTAAAGATTTTGGTAATGCAGATTAATTCAACAGGTTATATAAATTTATATTAGAGGGTAACCAAAAATACGATTTTATGTAATGCAGATTAACCAAAAAACTCAATTATACTATTGTTAATTTTTCCTTCAGGATATAAATACGATTAAGGATCAGGAAACACAAGTGGACTTATTTGCGTGCCCAATATGCTACGAACCATTGATAAGAAAAGGTCCTGTTGGCCTTAACTTGTAAGTTGGATTGATATGCATGAGGGTACTGTATTTAATTCTAAAATTCAGTGTCATAGTAACTTACTAAATTGTTTTGGAACTTCAGATCAGCAATCTACAGGTCTGGTTTCAAGTGTAAGAGATGTCAAAAATCATACACTAGTAAAGACGGATATTTGGATCTGACACTGACTTCTGGATTGAAAGATTACACAGAAGTTCAACCAGTTCGAACAGAGCTTTTTAGGTAAAAATAAATTAGAACATTGGTGACTTAATTCCGTTTTCGTTGCATTAAGCCACCATGCATTAAAATGTCAAGATATTATACAAGTTTTTTCATGTTAGTTAGTTATATATACTTGATGAGAATAACATTCTAAATATCCATTTTCTCATATACTTCTTAATCTGATGGAACTTTTTATTTATTTATATACATGAATAGTTTTTTCAACACACAAGTTGTAATCTACTAGTTCTGTTTTGTGCATATACGGAAGTTCTTAAATTCTTATTGTGTCTGAACTTTTTTCAGGAGTCCCTTTGTTTCATTCTTATATGAAAGAGGTTGGCGTCAAAATTTCACGCGAAGTGGCTTTCCTGGCCTTGATGAAGAGGTATGTTTTCTGTGCCAGTCCAACACCGAAGTAATATGCCAATATGTGAATAATATTAATGGTTTTTGTCGATAAGGTGTTTTTAGTAAGACATAATAACCTGTTAGAATTTAGGAACAGTTAGTGAACAGTTAAGAAAGTTTAGTAGTAAGACCGGATAAAAGTTATTCTTTTTGTTTCTTTCTGCCTTGTTTTTCTCTATTCAAAACAAACCATCTTTGGAGCTTATATTTCAATATATATTAAGTTCTTTATCTTTTCTTTATAATGCAGTTCAGAATGGCTCAAGAGTATTTTGAACCAGCTAAAGGTGGTCTGGTTGTCGATGTTAGCTGCGGAAGTGGTTTATTTTCCCGAAAATTTGCCAAATCTGGAACCTATTCTGGAGTCATTGCACTAGACTTTTCTGAAAATATGCTTCGCCAATGCAACGATTTCATTAAGAAAGATGCAACACTCTCAACACTGTATTGTTTTCTTCCTCTGCTTGGTTTTGAATTTATTGCTCCTAAAGAATTACATATTCAAAATTTCACCTTAGCACGAGGATACATGATTGTTATTAATATAAATTCATTTCATTATTTGCAGTAACATCGCCCTTGTAAGAGCAGATATTTCCAGGCTTCCCTTTGCATCAGGTTCGGTTGATGCTGTTCACGCTGGTGCAGCTTTGCATTGCTGGCCATCTCCCTCAAATGCTGTAAGCGATATGTCTTTGTTTGATGAATTTTTTCCTGGTTTTCCACATTTTGATTTCACCTTGTTTAAATGACTGTAACTTAATTAATCACTCATTATAAACTTCTTAAAGGTTGCTGAAATCACCCGTGTACTGAGGAGTGGTGGAGTATTTGTCGGAACAACTTTTCTTCGCTATACTTCATCAACTCCTTGGATTGTACGCCCCTTCAGAGAGGTAAACTCTCGATATTTAATTTATTAATTATCTTTCATCTTTTGTCATAATAATGTGAGTCTACCATGTGCATTCTGAAATTTTTGTTATGAGTTATTTATTGGAGTATTGATTATCTCATAAATCCATAGATAAAATTTCTGTTCTACAATTTCTAAATGTGATCTGCTATTGATAACATTGATTTGATGGTCTTTTTTGTTTGCAGAGGAATTCTCAAGGCTATGGCTTCTTAACAGAAGAAGAGATCAAAGACCTTTGCACTTCATGTGGACTTACAAATTACTCATGCAAAATTCAGAAGTCTTTTATTATGTTTACGGCTCAGAAGGCTTAAAACTGGATTTGATCCATTTATTGCATTGATTCTCATACATTATATTGTTGAAATCTGTATTTGTAGTATGATTTGGTTTATCTGTAAAGAAATTGTATATATACCAGAAATGAAAAGATGAAAAAAAATCTTTCTCTGCTAGGGAGGATCACAATTGTCAGCAAAACTCTATCTCAAAAAATTTAACTGTACAGTATGCTCAAGATAGAGTTGGAATCCATAATAATCTCTGATTAATTTAGAAGAAACTCTTATTATCTCATTCAAATGTTTTTGAATATATAGTGTTACATTAACATTTTAATTAATTTATTTGCTATTAGTTATGTTCATTTATTATAACTATAAATCTGCTATTAGTCGATTGTTAATTTTTATAAATGGACATAAAATAGAAGAGATTATGCATATGGTCAAAGTAAAGACATTCCAACCCTAAGTGACGAAGAAGTATCTTGGAAAATTTTGAAAATGCACCTCTAAATTCGGAAATATATTTTAGGATGTAACTAATATATTAAATTCATGTAAAATGACTTAAGATAAGAGAAAAGAGAAGTAATCCCCTTTTACTATAATTCACAAATGTAATCGATGAGTTATATTCGGTCATTGGCTACTTTATATCTATAATTGTGAATGTTTGTTGTATTGGGTCATCTGATTTTAAAATATTTGTAATTTCACAAATTAAAAACTATAACTTGTCATATATCTTCTAGACTTCAATATACGGAAAGAAGTTAATTAAAATTACTGGATTTTTGAAATTACAATTATTTAAGTACATACTTTTTTATATAAAATACAGTCAAAATTATACAGAAATTGGAAGTTTTAAAATTTAAAAGATCTAATTTAAAGATTCAAATTAGGTGTTTTGTTTTGTTTTCAAAAATTTTAACTTAAATATTCAAATCAAATTAAAATTTTGATATACAAAAGTTTGAATCAATAACTATAAATAAAGGAGATATATCTTTTGGGCTGACCTGTTTTAATATATAAAATACTTTTTCTTTAATAAATAAAAAATTACAATATAAAAATAATAGTGTTGTTAGTAACTTCCATCAATTACTCGTGAAAAGAATTTAAAAGAATTATTTCATAATTTTTAAAAATTATTTTTTATATTTATCTCTTAACTTGTGCTTCAAGGGCACAAATTAGCATTACCCTAAAAGTTATTAACTTCCATCCTTTGTAACGTTAATATAACTTGCTGATGAATAAATTTTCATTCATTTTCAAATAAACTGCTGTCCACAAAAATTGAAAGTGAATAATATTGAAGAATTTCTACATACAAGAGTTGTGAGACATTCAATAACATGGCCGTGAACATATCTCTGTGTAAATATCTTTTCTATTCAATTGTCAATTTTTTTTATTATAAAATTTTAATTTCTTTTTTATATGATGAGTTTTTTCTTCATCATTATTTTTATTTATTTATAAATTCTATAAACATGCAACTTCATTAAAAATAAAATATCACTGCAGTCACAATTATCGAAGAAGTAATACTATTGTTTGGTTTAGGCTTCATACTCAAAAATTTAATTTTCAAGGACAGTGAATAGAGGTGGTAAAATAGATTGAATCTGTCGGGTCTATTCGTTTAATTCACTATTTTTAATTCGGTATTTTAAATTAGTCGAATTTTTTTTTAAAGTAGCAATGTTATAATTTTTATTTACCAAACAAAGTAATGTTTCAATTAATTTACGAAAATGGCAAGGTTTGAAAGGTGGAAGCAGTCATTCGCCAGATGAATTGGCGAATTAGGCCAAATCCCATTTCAACAGATTCGCCAGATGAATTGGCGAATTAGCCAAACCATCACAAAGTCGCCACATCATTTGGCGAATTAGTATAACTTTATTTTTTGTTTTTTTTTTCTTTTTATATTATGATTTCATATTTTTAAAGTTTAAAAATTTATTTGTTTTTAATTATTATTATTACTAATTTAAGTTTAATATATTAATTTATAATATAATTAATTTTTAATATAAGTTTAATTTTAATTTAAGTTTTATTTTTAAAGTTTAATTTTAATTTTAACTTTAATATAAGTTATAATTTTAATTTAAGTTTTAAAATATAAAATATTTTGATTATTATTTTGAATTTTTTTTTAAAATAACCATGTTAATTAATTATTTAATATTTTAATATATTTTAAGTAGAAATTATTTAAATAAAGTTAAATTTGATTCAAAATAATTATTAATATAAAGTTGAAATGTAAAAAAATATATGATTAAACATAGAAATTTAAAATTAAATTTGATTGACTTCCTAATTAAAGTTACAAAATATTGAACATTACGATAAAATGAAAATTACAATATAATTATTGTCCGGCTCTATCTAAGTGACCACCAGTGCCACACCGGGGGGGTTGTGCGTTGCGACGAGGTCGACGACTAGGTTGCTGCGGTGTTTCTGGTCGTTGTGTGTTGGCATTTGGAGGAGGGTTTTGCTGGGAGGGCCCCGGGATATCATAGAGATTTTGCATCATTTGGCCCCAATAACCGGAAGGTCCACTGTCAACTGCGCTTCCGTAATCAAGCCCGACGCCCATGTTTTCGAATGAGTGTCTGGCAGGTTGGGTGGAGTATGGACGGTATGGTTGTCCGAAGGCGTACATTGAATTGGGTTGGGATGGTTGTGTGGGCTGTTGTGGGGTTTCGTAGTCGAATAATGGGTAGTTGGAGGGATAGTTGGAGGGGTAGTTGGAGGGGTGGTTGGAGGGGTGGTTGGATGGGTAGTTGTAGGGGGTAGGGTTGAAAGAGTTGTCTGGGCTATAATGGTCGGGCTGGGACTGGGTGGTAGGCATGTAAAGGTTTTCAGAAGGTTGATTTTGTTGTGTGGTTGACGTTGAAGCTCGTTGCCTTGGATCAACCAAATACGTTGGCTGGGACAGAAATTGCTCAGATGTTGTGACAGACCTAAACCAAGTCATGTATTGAATACTTGGTCTAGCCCCGTGCACAATCCGGTCGGTTAATATGTAGCGACTTCTTCTGTCCCATTGCCTACACAACGCCTTGGCAAACTCAGTCCAGCTACTAACACTCCATTGTGAGTCCACTCGTTTTTGATGCCACCGTCCCAGATTTACCGGATCCTCTGGGATATCTTGATGCATCCCAAATTGAAGTTTGACCCGGTCACTTTGGTGCATCTCTATTGTAGTGAACCTGATAATGGGTGTTCGCGAGGTCCACACAGCAACATCATTAGGGTCGGGTTGGTGGTCCAGACCCTCGTACGGCATCCATACAAACTACAATAAAGGTTGATGTGTTTAGTCAGACAGACAAATTAAATGTTATGCATACAACTTAGACAAACTAATGGCAAACAACTTACATCATCTGGCCCCGGGTGGTCGATCAGGTTGCGATATTGAATTATAGAGTGCCGTGGACATCTCTGGTAATTCATGCCGGGAACAGACCACCTAAAAATAAGAAACACATCTAAGTCAGAATCGGAAACACATGTAAGAAAGTATTGACTTGTTTTTTAAATTTAAAAATAAAAAACTTACTTGTTGGCATACGGGAATGTGAAAGGGTTACGGTTGATAGGAGCAAGTGTTGGCATCCTTGACCAACCCCACGCTTGTAGGAGATAGGCACATCCATAAAAAGTACACGCATCTTTTTTCGAAGTCTTGCATAGTGCGCTATACAAATGGGCGAGTACGGCTGATCCCCAACTATATTCAGACACTTTGTTAATATTTTGTAACAACGGTAAATACATTGTATGGACGGTATTTCCGGTGCCCTCCGGAAATAAAAAGTGCCCGAACAGAATCATAATATAGCACCTTGTTTTTATTATTTTTTCATATTCCGTGCTATCGTCATCCAAGACAAGAGAACTGTAGTGTTCTCTAAGGTATTTCAGATTTATGCCCTGACCCCTAGGGCGGCCTCCTCTTTCCGCCTGAGGGTCGTCCTCACATAGAGGGGCGCCCAATAAATCTTTACATAGTTGGTCAGGAACACCAACATTGTCGTTGACAGCCGTACCATCAATGCGTAGGCCGAGCAACATGTAGACATCTTGGAGAGTCACAGTGCACTCACCGAAAGGTAAGTGAAATGTATGCGTCTCTGGTCTCCAGCGTTCTAACAACGCTAGAATAAATTTCATATCAAGAGAATATGATTGGATTTTTAGAACATGACCAAACCCACAATGATGAAGGTAACCCGCCGTGCGTGGGTCGTGTGGTACATAATCATGTACACGACAACGAAACCTTGAAACATCCTGCAAAGAAATAAATGTTTCGTTAGACAAGAAGTGCAAAGTTATAAATAATTATGGTTTGAGATGTATGACTTGTAAACTTACAAACTCAGCAATATTTTCGAGTGTCCCTCTGTGAGATTCTCCCATTGTAAGTAGAGACATTGTTGCGATGTAAAAAAGGTTTGAGATGTATGAGACAAAGAGATGGATTGATGGCATTGATAGGGAGAAATGGACGCGGGCATACGACCATGGGGTGCGATGGGGCCACATGACAACCAACCTCGTCGAGTCAATGAATTCTGTTTTTAAGGGAATTCGAAACCTCCCAATTACTGCTTTGGTAAAGGCAACCTATTTTAGGATGGGATCACTTTTTGATAGCAGACGTGCAAAGTGGGGTTCGGTATTACAATCGGGTCAGCTGTACAGCGATACTGCAATGCAATTCATGAAAGACGAAGCTGCGAAAGCCAACACCCACGTGGTCACAATATTTGACCGTACAGCTGGTTGGTTCAGTGTTGTCGAGGCTATAGATCACAATGAAGGAAGGCCCAGAGGATGTTATCGTGTTGAATTAGATAAGAGCTGGTGTGATTGTGGAAAGTTTCAAGCATTCCGTATGCCTTGCTCTCATGTCATAGCAGCTTGTTCAAAGGCGCGCCAGGACCCAACCAACCTTCTTTCTACAGTTCACCAAGTCATTAGTCTATGCA